TATATTTTTTATATTTCTCTCTATATCTGTTAGTTAAGAACACCAGCCTTTAGTGAGAGATATCCGATTCTATTAATAAAAAAATTATATGCAGCGCCGTACACGTGGTAGAAGTGAAACTTCTATCGCTTCGCATTGCGTGTATACGTCGCTCTCTCTTGCTTCACTCCCGTGGCATCAGAGTTCTTGCTTGAACAATGTTTCCTAAACTATTCCCCCTTCGAGCAACTGAGACTTTGGACTTAGCACACGAGGGACGCACAAAAGGGAGAAACGGATAGCCGAAACACTAGCCGAAACTGTGTATGAGATATCAAATCAAATCAAATGGTAGTGGATTTACGGAGCTATATCTTATATAAAAGAAAAATAGTGTACAAAGATACAATATCTATGTGTGTACAGCAAGATACCAATAGATATAAATATATCAACTATCACCTATTGGAACAAAAACAAGCTTGAAAGCGATCAAAACCATGCAGACCAAATATCTTATACTACACTAAAATTATTGATATCCCAATTGTCATGATAAGTTCCATCAATATAAGAAAGTAAGATACAAGTATCCATTAATAATCTGCCCCACTCTAAACTTACATACAGCTATGATTGACTGCACACCATTACACAATATTCAATCCAAGCTAAAATTATAAACACGCAAAATAATGATTTGAATTTCCTATTACATACCTACTCTTTTATTTATTAATAACAAATGTTAACCGAACATGTACCTACCATTATATTAGCAGTACATAAACGTACAGACAACTATCATAATCATTTTCGCAAAACGGAGGCAAAAACTTCAAAGTTTTCCAAGAGCAACTTGTTTATCCTTTTAGTAAAAAGATGCCTGTTTTGTACTCGTTTAATATCAGTCGGGAGTAGGTTAAAAAGTTTCGGACCAAGGTACGTCAGAAACATTTCGATAGTTGTTCTTATCAGAAAAGGGACGTTAACATCATTAGCAGCTCTCCTCCTAGTGTAGTGATCTGAGTGTACTATTGTCTGTCTTAATTTAGGAGTCTTGTATACAAATACAAGCGCTGACTTAGCATATAGTTGCTGTATTGTAAAGACTTTGGTTTCTTGGTATAGGAGTTCGGTAGAATATCTGGGAAGTTTTCTAAAAATAACCCTTAGCAGATATTTCTGAGTAACGTTGAAAGTGGAAGGAGAAGTGGGAAATGATCCTCCCCATATAGATAGAGCATATCTAATAACTGATTCTGCCAAAGCTGTGTATAACATTTTTAAAATATGAATCGGCATATCTGCAGTTTCTGAGCTGATAAAACTTATAAATGAGTTTCCGATTTTTTAAAGGACCCCGCACAAACCTTATGGAAGCTTTCTGTTAAATTGGCTGAATTTTTGAAATTGGGTAGATTTCGATATTCTGATTCATAGTTGTCATTGCGCAAAAATGATTCCATATATAGTTTTTGAGTGAATGGGCTTAAAAGATGGTATTGGAAACGCATAATATATAGCTTTGAGAGGTAGGTAGGTGCTCAACGATATCAATCGATTCTGAAATAGCCAAAATGTGGAATAGCGATGTTGAAGTCTAGGATCAGTGGTTCATATCTCAGCCGAGATACATTTTTTTTTTGTTTCCACAGTTTGACTATTTTAGTATCGATTGATAGCGTTAAGCACCCACCTCATAAGCTACATGCGTTTCCAATATCATCTTTCAAGCACATTTGCTCAAAAACTGTACATGAAATCATTTTTGCGCAATGATTTTAATCAGAATATCGAAATCTACCCAATTTCAGAAATTCAGCCAATTTGACAGAAAGCCATTTTCCATAAGGATTTGTGCGGGGTCCTTTATACTACTTTCTATGTGTTTTTCCCATTTAATGTTTTGGTCAATAAATATACCCAAATAGTTTATACATGCTGTTTTACTCAAGGTTTCAGTACAAAAACATGGTTCTTCCTTCAGCAAAAATTGATATGAGTGTATCAATATTTCCTCGAAATTTAGTTGGTTGTGGTCCAAAATACTAAAACTCACAAATTTGGTCTTGTCTGGATGTATTGTCAACCGATTCTCTTCCAGCCACTGTCCAACCTTTGCAAAGTCGAGAGTTGCTCTTTCCATGGCAGTTTCCCAGTTATCTCCTTGTACAAGCAAGACAGGGTCGTCTGTTTATGAGACAAGCTTACCGGACCTGTTGAGAAATAGAAGTTCGTCTATGTTAAGTGTGAATAGAAGTGGACCCAGCACAGTGCCCTGCGGCACACCATACTGTACAGTCTTGAAAGGGATAAACTGATCTTCCCCTTCACACTCTCTTGCTTTCTTTCAGTGAGATAATTTTTTATCAGGTCTTCACCCAAACCCCTTATCCCGCAGTTTTCTAGTTTGTCCAACAAAATTTTGTGTGAAACTGTGTCAAAGGCTTTCGCCAAATCTAAGAAAATGGCGATAGGTTTCTGATTATTTTCAATAGCATTATAGATGAAACTTGTTACCTCAAACAGCGCTTCGGTAGATTTACCCTCTCTAAATCCCAACTGATTAGGAGATAAGATGTTGTTCCTCTCTATGAACTTTGAAAAGCTATCCCTTATACATATTTCAAAGACTTTTTTGCAATATTATTGATAAGCGATATTGGGCGATAGTTCTCTGGCGAACACATCATTTCCTTTATATATTGGTACAACAACTGATCTCTTCAATTCGCACGGGATTATTCCTTTCAAAAATACACAATTGAAAATATGGGTCAATGGTTTCGAAATAAAATGTATCTTCAGTAAGCTACTTTTAAACCCATCTAGACCTGGCGCAGAACAGTTTTCTAGCGAGTTAATATGTTTGAGAACTTCATCTTCGGATATAGGTGTTAGAAAAAGAGTGGAACAGTTTGATCGAGTACAATCCGTTTTTTCCTTTCTCACAAGCGAATTTGTTTGACATTGATACACCTATATTCATGAAATATTGATTAAAAATATTTGCTACATCTTTTTTATGAGACTGGATAGTGTTATTGTTGAAGAGAATTTGATTTTATTTATATTATTATTACAGTTTAGTTCCTCATTAATTATTCTCCACTATTTTCTAGGGTTTTGGTTTGTTTCATTGAACTTATTTTGGAAATAAGAGGTTTTTACTTCTTTTATTATCCTATTTAAAATATTACGGTAATCTTTAAAACTATATATTAAGTAGTGCTATGTTATTTTTGTATTTTAAATGATATTTTTTCAATTTGTCTCTGTATCGGATAGAATTCACCAAGCCAGGAGTTATCCAAAGTTTTAGTTTTTTATTTTACTTTTTTACTAAACATGACGCGTCTTTTAGATCACTCTCTATTCTCGTCCAAATATCAGACCGCCTCCTAAGAAGTTTCACTTCAAAGCTATCCCCTCTTATACAAATTTTAGACTTATGAGTCGGGGTGAAGACGAAGGACCACAAAAAAGGGAGGCGAGCATCTGTAGTGACGTCACAAGGGTATCGGCGCCTGACAATAATAGGCAATTCTCTTTGCTTATAATCCTTGGTTTGTGTCAATCGTTCGTCGGCAGTCATTGTCATTGGCTGTCTTTCTTCGTCTCTTTACGTTATATCTTTCTTCTCCCTCTTGTAACGAGATTTGCCAGAACGTGACGTTAGGTGACGCGTCTTTTAAATCACTCTCCATTCTCGCTTATGTGGTTTCCACATTTTATTTATCACGTTAAGGCACGGTTTATTAATCATCTGATAAACTGTTAGGTAGTGCACTCTGACGGATCAAAACGCAATCTATATTCCTATTGGTCGGCCAGTTCCCCGTCGATCAATAGAAATATAGATTCGTGAATTTATTTTGTAGACAGTTATCAGTAAATTTACATGAAGATCAATAAACCGGGCATAGGTTTATCAACTCATCCTGATTTAGTATTATTGCTTCAATAAGTCGGGGACAAATTATCAGACTTGCGTTGAAGTCTTCTCAAATATGTTTTTACCATATAACCAGATAAAACTCAGAACTTAGCTGTTGTTGAAGCAATTAGTATAGAAAAAAAAGCAGCTCAAGCAAATCTCCATCATTTGTCTGACACAAATGATCAATATTCAACTCACCAGGCATTGTGAAAACAATATTCAAGCCATGGGCATTGTGACAACAATAATAATAACATCGAGTTTTTTCTGCTTTGAACAAAGGTCTTTCTAATTAAAAGTGTTTTAATGCTTTCTGATTTTTTTCTGCTTTGTGACGGCACTTAGAAGATTTTGCGTGAGAGAAGCCACTATTGGGCCAATCACAGACAGATGATGGAGACGAATTATCGAATTATTTGCTTCAGCAAAAAAAAAAAAAATGCATCGAAGAATATCAATCTCAATTAATTTTCAATTGTTCAACACTTTCAAATCATGCCCGGTTTTTTCAATAAGAGAAAACTCAGGACTATTGACTTTTTGAAACTTTTTTTTTTTATGGTTCATACTGACACTGATTAGAATTTCTGAAAAAAAATCTACACTAAGATAAAACTGGTATATTAACTTCCCCAATTTTATATTAGAATATACCAATTGTTAATTTTATAGGAAGCTTAACCAAAGTTCATCGTTTCAAAATCTAGAAACGTTTTTAGACTGAAGCAATAGGTGAAATAAAACAGAGGATATTTCAGACAAGCAGTCGAAGCAAACTTAGGTGCACCTCAAAGAAATTCACATGCTTTTCAATTTCATTATGGTATTAAATCATTATTAAGTAATAGTACCCAAGCCTCTTTCTAGACATTAAATTTTTCAACACTGGCTTTTTTATATTATAAGTATAAATTTTTGAGTTCGCATTAGAAAGGTCTTGAAGACAGTGTATTTGGTTGGCTTTTTTGATCATCAAATCAAAATGAATGCATATACAAACTTTTGTTCAACTTTTACAGCCATCAGAATCTGATTTCTCTAAACTATTAGATACCTAAATTTATTTATTTTTTTCCAGGGCCCGATATTCCCGGTTTTCTTCTTCAACCCTTTAGAAAACCAAAAAGAATACGAACAGCTTTTAGTCCATCTCAATTGCTAAAACTGGAACATGCCTTCGAGAAAAACCACTACGTGGTTGGAGCTGAGAGGAAACAGTTGGCACAGTCGTTATCGTTGACGGAAACGCAGGTTAGTTGATTCAAGTTAGCAGGGATTGATGTTTGATGGTACAATCATTATTATGCTGTTGATGTTTCCTGGCCAGAACATTTTATGACTAAAATAACTACATAAATCGATATTTTTCCAATTCCCGTTTAAATTAAATTTTTGGGATCCATAAAAACATTAATGGTTTTCACGTTGATGGTTGAAAATTATTAATAAATAGGTACCACACAGTAATTTAATTTCAAGTATCGCAAATTAGCTGCGGAAACAAACACGCACACCATGTACCTTAAATACTCCAATTACTATAATTTAAGTAATTGCATTTCAGATAAAAAATGCATCCACCATTTTTAAACGGGCAATAATATTACCCGCACCCTGATTTTAGAAGCTATTTAATATAATGTTAGCGAGTTTTCACGGATGGTGCAAATCGATTGCGATTTCCTTTATGACCGAAAGTTTTAAGTTGGGTGGTCTTTTCATAATGGCTCGCGTACGTGGGTATGTATGTCCAGGAACATTATGAATAAATTATTTCTACGAACGATTATTTTTTGAAACGGACGGTGTTTATTAAATATCTACTTAAAACTAATGAACGGTCGCGATTGGTTAATTAATAAGGAGTATTTGTTCTTAACGGTTTCCATCTTCGAACAGCATTATTGACATTTCAAGCCAAACTTCATATAGTTACTGAATAGTCCTCCGCTGTGCTTCATCTTTTCCTTTCCATTAGGTTCATATTAATTTCCAATTTTCATGAAATTTATCAATTGATCAAATTTTAGTTCACGTCCTGATTCAATTCATAACTTGGGAACGTTAGAATAAAACTATGACAAATGATTCCAAGACTAACCCCAGTATAAAAATAACAACTATTATATACCAATAATACAGAGAGGACTCAATAAATTAGAAATTCAATTCGGCGTATCGGACAAGTTACAATATAGCCCCTAAAGGACAGATGTGCCGTTTTATGTTAAATGCAAACCAAACACTACAGTACATTACGCGCCAACATGGCGTCGTACATTCGCCAATGAGGATCATCCGCGGCTCCATTGTTATTCCCGGAACGAAAGGTACAGAGGGTTGGAAGGGAGACCGTTCCCGTTGCTCCCTTTTTCGGTTGGGATTCCTAATAGTGTAAGTTGATCGTTTAGGGAGCTGCGTGCGCACCACCATTATCGACCCGATACGAGGGCCGGGGGACGCATCAGGATAATAGGGCATGATTGGGCGAATTATTTGAACAATTGTCTCCCTAAACATCCCCTCATTTTACGACGTCGAGATTTGCTACTGTTATATTGTATTTTATGAGGCGAGCGGCGGGCCTGGGATGTAATTTGAACGCTGTTAAATGGTTTGTTATGTTGAAATATTATTTGATCGCGTTACAGCTAATTTCATTTTATGGGATATTGAAATGAAAAATAACAAGAATTTTTTTTTGGCAAAAAATATTATCATGGACAACAATTGAGCAAGGCTTTATACTGACCTACTTTATGCTTGATACCATTTTCCACTTGGTTTTCAATAATTATTCAAACTAAATTTAGTTAACTTCATAGCAAATTGGATTTCGATGATGGCTACTCTTGAAAGTTACAATAACAACAAATAAAGCAATGAATGAATCCTAAAATTTAAGCATTCGCTCATGGGCAATTTAGGTGATACCTTCATTTGAAACTAAAACGGCTCTCAAATCCTTGACCGCAGAACCACTATGTTATTTATGTGATTCTTTTTCCGTTCACATAGAATTTTTAAATTCATTCGTTACATTGATTGCTTGAAAATAATGGGTTATCATACAGCAAAATCACACTACACTATCGCAGCAAATTCGGAATTTCAAACTAAAAGATGTTAATTTAAGAAAAAAAGCGTAAAAAGATATATAAATAAAGATATATACAAAACAAACGGAAAAAAATTGGTTTCGTGCACGTGACGTCACTAAATTTTCACTGGACGTAAGACAACCTAACCTTATCCCATTTGTGTATATGGAGTTGGAGTGTCATGCTTTCTTCTTTTGATATTTTTTCGGTGTTTTAGTTATATTTTTGTTTGATTTGCTGTTTAATAGTTCATAAAGACATTTATTTACGTTCATATTGTATATTCGGCGGCATTATTTTTACATCCTACAACGGCACAATACGAGGGTATTTTGACCCTGGTCTACATTATACTATCCTAGGAAGTGAATTATATTTCAATTAGAAACAAGTTTTCAAAGGATTAGGAGGGCTATACGGCGAAATTTCAAAAATACACTAATTTTTAGGTTATGTTACCTCCAATGTGGTCACATGCCGCACGAAACCAATACCTAAGTTTTATAATTTTTTTAGTTTTGCTTTATGTATTCTCCATGTCCGGTTTTGTCATTTTCGTTACATCTCCTTCAGGGGCAAAAAACTTTAATTTTTTTATTATAGGTTTATTATTTTGATTTTGAATAAGGTTTATGTTGTAATCCAACATTGCTGTAATTTATTTTAGGTTACAATTTAAAAAATATTTTGCCACATACTCAGGTACCTACAGCTTTGTTGTTGACTGATTTAGAGATTCGCTTTATTCAATCGGGTTGCTCCAGAATCATACATTTTGGGTTATCATTGCTTACACTGCCATAAGATTCAATTATTAACTGTAAATAAACACAAAGTCAGAGAAAATCCAATACAAAGAAGAGTCACGAAGTATATCAATTTACAAACATTTTGTGAAAGGGTAGAGAAAGAAATAGAAAAAAGTATCTCACTAGAATAATAAAAGAACCAAAAAAGGAAGCAACGGGAAATGAAGTCATAAAAGATAGAAACAAACATTGGATAAACAATGAATTCTTGAATCTTATTAATCAAAGAGACAAAGTATATGTATGATACAAAAATAATCCTCGAAATCGACATATTGCTGATGAGTTTAAAAAGTTGAAAAACTGCTGTAATTCATTAGGAAACAAATTAAAACATAAATACCTACCTAAATTCAAAATTTCACCAAGCAAAGGGAGATTTGAGGAAAACATGGAAAGTTGTAAACCAGAGAATAGACAATGATTACTCAGAGAATTATGAAGGTAGAATCAATAGGGTAGATTACCCAATGATAGAGAATAGGAGGATTGATGATGATCAAGACATACCTAATAAGATTAATGAGTACCTACTTTGTAAACATTGGATATCAAATTGGAAAAAGTGTAGAAGAAGAGAAACAAAAATATCCAAACATACAATTTTCTGAACAACAGACAGAAAGAACAATTTTCCTTCATCTCACCACACAACTTGAGATAGAAGAGATAATTAGTGAATTAAATAAATATTCAGCAGCTGTGCCAGACGAAATAAGCTCTTATGATGTAAAAAACATTCTTCCACCAACGTTAACTAAGCTTAAATAACATCCTATCAAGCGGACAGTTTCCACAGTGCTTAAAATTATCAAAAGTCATACCAATACATAAATCAGGACAATTTAGGAAGAAACCTAAAATCCTAGTATATTTTGAATCAGGTTTGAAAGGCTAATCCAATGGGACAATAATCTATGATGGGGGTTTCCATTTAAAAAAGTATAGCTTTGCTTCATCACACTCTTGTGACACACCCTGTATACTTGTAACTAACATCATTGAAAACTTTCCGATATTACCTACAACTTTCACATTTGACATTTCTGGGTATCTCTTCAAATAGGTGAGATAGGTGTGGGTGCAAAATATAGACAATCACCCGGTAGATACAATATGTAAATAATACACTTAACGAGAAATAGTTTAAAGCCTAATTAGGAATTTTTGATATTATTGTATTATAGGACTTGTTACAAGTCATTGTATTATGTACTGCTTAAGGTTCAACAATAAATATTTATTAAAAAAAAAATTATATCGCAGCAAAATCCAGACATTCAAAGTAAAGGTACAAAAAAATCCGTTAATGAACCAAAAATAATTTTGGTGGAAAACATACAGATATTCACTATAATACTCCCGTCCAAATAACATATTATAATGTATGTGTCATATGTGTGGTTTGTTATTTTATTGTATTCCCTTATAACGGTACCTACAAATTTAATGCAAAATAAAACCACCTACAATGTCATATGCAAAACTTTTCACACGTTCTACCGTAGGAAAACATCTGTTTACAAACATTTCATTAAAAGCCTCATCAAACAAAAGGTGTTGGAACCCTTCCTCGAAGTTGAACACTTTATAACAACGTCGTGACAACTTTACGCTGGTAAATAATATTTTACGTGTTTCTATACACCTTATAACGTGAGTGGTTATAAATATGGAAAAAATATTCTCATGGATTTTTTCAATCGTGTTATGTTATAATACAAAATATATATAATTACAAAACAGCTCTTTAAAGAATTTCTTGTTAATTAGGTACAAGCAGTAATTCTTAAGCCACTCACTAATATTTATTAGGGCTCAACAAACAAACAAACAAAGCAATAAAACTTAAAGAGCCCAGGTAATATAAATTACAATTAAGAAACAGGTAGTAGTCGTAGCCAAATCTTTAAATTTTCGGCGTCTTTGCCTAAATTTTGACAACAAAAGATTCACTAATCTCCGAAGTTAATTCTCGAAAACGTCATAAATCAGTTGTAATCTGCGATGGTCAATGAGCTTACTGCCTATGGGGACAGACAACTTATTTAGACTTTGGTGAAAATATTTAAATGCTAAAAGGCAATATTCCTCGCTATTTATAAATATTGAAATGTTTAAGCTCGTTTTTGTAATGTAGGATCCGAATAACCGCATACTTACAAGGTAATTAAATTTACCTTTTCAGAAGTCAAACGAAAGGATTACGATTATTAGAAGTTAGGCTTTACGACTAAATGCAAGATGTCTTAAGATCCTTGTCGCGCAACAATTATCTTGTACAAATTAAGCAGTCAATGTTTTTCTTTGAAATGCACACATTGGGCGAGTTTGGAAACTA